CGCGAAGGGATGGCAGCGGGATCTCGTCTTCGTGTCCTGCTGCGTTTTCGCTCCATGAGTTAAGTTGGGCCTGTCCCTCTACAAGGGGAATGTTCAAAAATAGTAAAATAATAGTCAGGGGATTGTTTTTCCCAACCATCCTGTGGTGTTGGGTCCTCGGTTTGAAGAGACAGCGCCCCGCGTCTCCTCCCGCTGCCCCCTCCCCCCTCCCCCTCATCCCTGCGTTTCACCCACCCAACACAGCGCTTCGTAGACCCATCGGGAGCTCCACCGAAGGCCCCCAATGGCAGGGTTCGCACGGCGGCCTCGGGCCATTTCGGCACACCCCTCACGAGAATCGTGGCCCCATAGGGAGCTCCACCGAAGGCGCCAGTGGCAAGGTTCGCATGGCGGCCTCGGGCCATTTCGGCACACCCCTCACGAGAATCGTGGCCCCATAAGGAGTTCCACCGAAGGCGCCAGTGGCAGGGTTCGCATGGCGGCCTCGGGCCATTTCGGCACACCCCTCACGAGGATCGTGGCCACAAAAGGGAGCTCCACCGAAGGCGCCAGTGGCAGGGTTCGCATGGCGGCCTCGGGCCATTTCGGCACACACCCCACGGGGATCGTGGCCACATAGGAAGCTCCACCGAAGGCTCCACAGGCAGGGTTCGCATGGCGGCCTCGGGCCATTTCGGCGCACCCCTCACGCGGATCGTGGCCCCATAGGGGGCTCCACCGAAGGCCCCCAATGGCAGGGTTCGCACGGCGGCCTCGGGCCATTTCGACACACCCCTCACGAGGATCGTGGCCCCATAGGGAGCTCCACCGAAGGCCCCCAGTGGCAGGGTTCGCGTGGCGGCCTCGGGCCATTTCGGCACACCCCTCACGAGGATCGTGGCCCCATGGAGAGTTCCACCGAAGGCCCCAGTGGCAGGGTTCGCATGGCGGCCTCGGGCCATTTCGGCACACCCCTCACAAGGATCGTGGCCCCACTGGAGCTCCACTGAAGGCGCCAGTGGCAGGGTTCGCAAGGCGGCCCCGGGCCATTGCGGCACATCCCTCACGAGGATCGTGGCCCCATAGTTGTGCTGCTTCAACAACCGCGCCTGGGCGTCGTACTCCGCCTTGTCGACGTGCAACGCCACCTCCTCCCTCATGGCTCTCAAGGCCCTTTCCTGCTTCTGCTCCTCGGTGAGAGGGACGCCGTCCTTGTCGTCGTCGGCGCCCGCGAAGACGGCCACGAACGTGTCCCTGAGCATGTCGGGCTCCGGCGGGAAGCCGTGGCCACATAGGGAGCGCGGGCGAAGATGGCATTCACAATTGCGGCATTCACAACTGCATATGGTTGGGTCCTTCGCCAGGATAATTATTTTTTTTGGTGTTGCTATTGTTGAATATGGTTCGAACATTTGCATTTGTCGTCGAAAACCCCCTGTAAGGGGACAGGCCCGACTTAAGAGTAACAACGGTGGGAGAAGGGAGGGAGGGCAGAAGAGGAACGGACACGACGACTGTGCTGCGGGAGCGAAAACAACGAGGACGGGGGACGAAGGGCCTCCTCCTCCTCCTCCTCGTCCTCCCCCTCCTCCTCCTCCTCCTCCTCCTCCTCCTCCCCTCCTCCTCCTCCTCCTCCCCTCCTCCCCCTCCTCTTCCTCCTCCCTCCTCCTCCTCCTCCTCCTCCCCCTCCTCCCCCTCCTCCCCCTCCTCCCTCTCATCCTCCTTCTCCTCGTCGTCCTCCTCCTCCTGGATACCAAGGCGTTCTTGACTCTTGGGTCGCTCGCTGTCGCGAGCTCCCATGGAGAATGCGAACGCCGACCTCATCCGTCCTGCGACACGCAACAACCTGCCTGGGACAAAACACTTTGGCGTACATACGTTGCGGTTGCGCGTGAGTGTCTCTGGACCATATCAGTCCGCGGGAAGTCGCGGGTGCCCCGGTTGGGAAAGCCCCCCCCCCAGACGCGCGCTTACGCGTGCGACGGGTCGCGTGCAGAATGGACGGATGAGGTGGACGAGGATGGAAAAGAGGAGACCAGGAGGGAGGAGGCAAGGAGGCATGGGGGAGGGAGAGGTAGAGTGAAGGAGAGAGGGGAGGGAGGAGGCATGGAGGAGAGAGTAGCGCGGAACGAAGCAGGGAGAATGGGAAGGGGAGGGAGGAGGACGAGGACGAGGAGAAACATGAGGGAAAGTAGGAGGAGGAGTAGTAGGTAAAGGGGGGCAGAAGGAGGCAGAGGAGGGGGGAAACGGGGCCGGAGGAAGGACGCACAAGGGAGGAGAAGAATGCTGACGAGGGAAAGGGCAACAAGAGAGGTAGAGAGAGACAGAGAGAAACCACTACATAGATGGGGAGAGAGAGGGAGATTAGGTGAGAGAGAGGGAGAGAGAGAGAGAGAGTGGAGGACTCCTGGCTGCTTGCAGTGAGCCTTCAAGGACTTCGGCCGCCTGGACTTGTGAACCCTGTAGCACAAGCAAAACAGACATGTCAAGCAAGGGAGCCCTGCGGTGCGCGGGTTCGGGGTTCGGGAGGGGCGCGGGGAAGCCAACACCAGGCGGGCAAGCCGCCGCTAAAGCATCGCATTCAGCGATCGGGGCACCCCAGCGCACCCGCGCCACAAGTGACGCTGGCTGACGTCCACTGCTACGTGCAGCTGGCTTGGCTCTCGAGACGTGGCTTGCTCCGGTCTCCGGGGCCCTTTCCCAGACCCCCGACGTCATGATCTTTTCATAACGTCGATCCCCGGCCTCCGAAGGTCGGTGCACGGATCCCCCCGGGGATCGGCTACGCGCAGGAGTGGCCCTGGGCAAGAGCGGCCTATGGTGCGCGGGTTTCGGGGGGCGCGGGGGGATTGGGGGGAATCCCGAAAGCAGACGCCGCTGCTACCGCATCGCGTTCGGCCATCCGTCGGCGGCGCGCCTGCGGGGGGAGTGAGAGGGGGCGGGCCTTTTCAGGAGGCGGTGGGGCTCCTCGGTAGCCCCAGTGGCTTCCTGAGAAGTATTCTGCGCCTTCGGGGTAGGCTTCTAGAAAACTTTGCACAAGGCCCGAGGCCTTCTGAGCCTTCTGGGAAGGCCCGCCCCTTCTTGCTTCCCCCCCTGAGCTCGCCGCAGAATCTGGGGGCTCCGGCGTGCCCACACCAGAAGTCACTCCGGCGAAAGATGCCTCGGATGCTGGTGCTGGTTCTGCTTCAGGCGTTCACCGGCGCGACGCGGAAGAGGAGGAGGAGGAGGAGGAGGAGGAGGAGGAGAAGGAACATGACGAGCATTTGAAAGCCACACACGTGGCATACACCAAGTCGAACAAACCTGCCAAGGAACAGTGAAGTGACCGCGTCGCCGACGACTCGCTGCTCAGACGAGACGGCGTGGTGCGTAGGGTGATGGCCCCGACACGGCCAACCCTGCCGAATCGACTCGCATGCGCAAGTGGGTTTGTTCTCCAGGGTGAATGGACACAAGGCCACATGGGATTTACGGACTACATGGCCCCACTTGTCACCCAAATGTGCAATCCCCGTGCCTGGTCCCATTTCCAATGCTACGGGCGCAGCTAACGCCACCAGGAGCAACGCGAAAGACGCCGAATTTCTGGCGCCGAACAAGATTTGCCGCTTGCACCTCTCCCTGCGAGCATCCAAAAGGCTCCTTGACATAGTACCCTGAAGGGGGAGGGGAAGAGGGAGAAAGTGAGGAGGAGGAGGAGTGAGGAGGAGGAAAACAGGAGACAGGAAATTAGTGAGAAGGAGGAGGAGGACAGAAGAGGGAGGAGGGAGGAGGGAGGGAGGGAGGGAGAGGAGGGGAGGGGAGGGGAGGGGAAGGAGGGAGTGAGGGAGGGAGGGGAGGGGACTGAGGGAAGGAAGGGAGGGGAGGGAACGACCCGCGTGCTCGCACCAGAACTCACCACGGCGAAAATCCCCTCGGACGGCGGTGGCGGCGAGACTCCAGGCGCTCGCTGGCCAATGGGGGAGGAGGAGGAGGAGGAGGAGGAGGAGGAGGAGGAGGATGCACCTTTTTTTCCAATGGCCAAATAATTCTCGCGGTGGCGCAGGGGATCCGCATGCGACAGACGCGAGCCAGACTTCTGAGAGCTAGCTCGCACACCTTGACACAGCTTACGCAGTAGACAATATTCTACAACTGAAGAGACACATCGTGGGATGGCTTAGGATACAAGAAAGACCGCTTGAGCCGTAATGGTTACGGCCAGGTGGGAAAATATAGCATTGCACTCTCTGTGGCACTCTGCTGCGCTCCGTTTCGCACTGCTGCTGCATGCACCTTTTTTTCCAATGGCCAGATAATTCTCGCGGTGGCGCAGGGGATTCGCATGCGACAGACGCAAGCCAGAACTTCTGAGAGCTAGCTCGCGCACCTTGCCAACAACCGCAACTGACTGCGACCTGGCGGTTGAGGCGGCACTCTTTTCAAAAGCGACGCATTAATCAAGCTCGACCAGTGCTGCAGCATGCGAGGAGGGCTCGGGGACCTGTGTCCACAATCTGCCTCCTGGAGCCTTGCCTTCTAAACTATGATGCGGCTTGCCCGAGTATCAACACTGGGCCTGGGTGCACTGGGCTCCGAGAGGAGCCAACCAACTTTTGCTTTCGTCCCAGCAGGCAATAGTGGTATCTTTGCGCCACGGCATGCCGAATCTACAATACAGAATGTGCGTGATCGAGGCCTGGCGCAGCAGCCGCGCCAGTCCGGGCTGCCTCCACAGCCAGGACCTGCGCGGGTTCTCCAGTGACGCGGGCACGTGATGGCGAATGCAAGCTCTGATTATGCGGATCGTGGTCCGCAGCAAAAGATTTCCTACTCTGACTTTGTATGCATCGGTGCCGGTAAGAATGGAGAGGCCCCGAGGATACTGAAGGGTGCGCAAGGGGCCTCCAGGAGAGCCGGGCTTGCCCCGGCGCGCGCCCAAAAAACTAGCGCACGGTGTGCCTAATTGGACCCATCGAGCATGCGGCAGTAGCCTGAGCACCTCATGAATTGTTTCCTCCTTGCCCAAGTATTGGGCCGCGTTATTTCTGATGTCCCAGGTCCTCGCGCGCCAACCGCGCCGCTGCAGCGATTTCGACAGGCCCCCTTTCCCCGAAAAGAAGCTCCCCAAACAGAAGCCTGCCGCCGAAGCCAAGCTCCGGCGAACTCGCTCGAGGCCCACGTCCCGGAGCACGCGCGCGAAGTTGCCAGTGCGCCCGTTCTGCAGCGCCCCCTCTAGGAGCCAGTCGGCCTCGGCCAGCAGCAGGTGTCGGCCGCGGTCCAGGTGGGCCAGGCGGCGCATCACCCTGGAGCCCATCTCGTAGCGCCTTCCGCTGAGGTCGGAAGCCCAGCGCCCCCGGCGCTTGATGGCCCCCAGGCCCCTCGCCTTGGTGAGCCAGTCGTGCGACGGCCCGGAGTGGCGAAAGACGCAGGGCGTTAGCTCCCAGCTCGCGAGACCGACCAGGGCGGCCGCCTCCTTGAACATGGCATTAAAGGCCGCGCCCGACCACGGAAAGAGGCGCTCCATCGGCTGCGACTGGTGCGCAACCTGCTCCAGCAATGGCCCCAGGTGCGACCTTGACGGGCCGACGAGCGGGATCGAGTCGTTGAAGCCCTTGGTCTTGGTCGCCTGCAGCTCCTCCTCTCGGGCCTTAGCACCAGCGACGCGGAGCGGTAATCGCCTCCAGCCCCGGGCTGCGCGGGCGCCGCGTGGTCCGCCCTCAGCGACAGCAGCTCCCCGGGCGCAGGAAGGCGTCCGCCGCGAGCACCGCGCCGAGGGCCGCGCGCCGATGGCCGAGGTGGATCAGGGCCACCGCCATGGCCACCACCGCCGCCCAGGGCGCCGGCGCCCGCGTCGCGGGCGGCACTGGCCTCCGCCAGCCCTGCATCGCCCGCGCCACGCTGGGCAGCTTCAGCAGCCTCCCTGCGTGGTGTAGCCTTGGGTCGCGATGCCCGATGGCGGCCAGCAACTTGGCCCCGCTGTTCGACGGCTCGCCCCTGCTGAACTCGAGGTCCATGTACTCCGCGATCGCCTTCTCCAGCTCGGCGTCGCTCACCGTCTCGAGCCCGTGGGTCCTGCAGAAGTCGTCGAACCGCGCCAGCCTCCTCTCGTAGCCCTGCCTCGTCTTCAGCGCGATGCTCTCCTGCTCCAGCGTCGTGCGCCCACCAGTCCCGACCAGCCTCTCCTCGATGGCCCGCGCGGACAGCGGCGGGGGAGGGCGGTCGAGGCGGGGCGCGCGGGATCGGCGACACCTCGTCGATGAACCCAGCTGCCGCTCGATCGAGGGTGCCGGGCCCACCGCCGCTCTGGCCGACGGGGCCGGCGCAGGCCGCGGGCGCGGCAGGCGCCCCCGGCCCTCGGGCAAAAGGCCGCTCCTCCGCAGCACCCTCTCGCACGGGGGGCTGCCAGGCCCGTGCGCGCCATCCCTCTCGGGGAGTGCTCGAACAGGCTTCGTGCTCGCATCGCCAGGCGCCCAGCGCAGCAGCAGCCTCCTTCTCAGCAGGCGAGTCGAACCATCGGCTTGGCTCATCCGCGGGGTTGAGCTAGCTGGCAACCCATCTCACACAGGTACGGGAGAAGGAGGCCAGCGAAAGAGCGGCACACTTTCTGACCAGAAATAGCACCGGAGGCGAAACCGCTCGGTCCTTCTCGACGCTCAACACCATGCCCATATTGTCACACAAGAACAGATGGCGGTGACGGCGGTGCCCAGCCTGACGACACTTCCGCCTCCATCCGAGTAACACGGCCCTGAGGTCCTCGAGGTGCATCGCCTCCTTCCCATGGCATCTCCTCGCATGGATCGTCTTCCAAGCGGCCCCATTGATGAACCCCCTGGGGGCCGCGGGGGACTCGTGATTGATGCTACCGTCGACGTCGCCTTAGATCCCCCAAGAACTCCTCAGGCACTGCCTCGACCAAAAGTAAGCCACGTAGCCCACGATGACGAGGGACGCCCTCGAGGCCTTCAGGAACCCGTAGAGGAGGTCCCGGGCGTTTGTGATGGGCGAGCGCACCTGGCACCCCTTCGAGACCCTTTGGAGCCCATGAAGTAGACCCAGCATGTTGACGAGCCCCCGTTGAACCCTCGAACGCCTCCTGCAGCGGGGCTTCTCCAGGGCCCTCAGGGGCCTGGGGCGCAGCATCGAGGGGGTCTTGGTGAGCCAGAGGAGGGAGAGGTTGAAATAGCTCGCGTTGCCATCCCCTCGACAGCGACTTGATGCGGAAACGCCAGCGCTCACGCCAGCGGCCCACTTCCCGCGCAGCCGCGAGCTCTGCGTCGGCCCCCTGCACCGCGTAGCCCCGGAGCGTGGCGCCCGCGCAAGTGACCCGCTCGGACCGCAGCGTGTCGAACTGCGCGGTGAGCAGCGGCAGCAGGTGGAGCGCGTGGGCGAGCTCCTGCCGCGCAGACGGCCAGAGCGGCACGGGCGCCCGGCAGTGCATCCTCGCGAAGTCGTAGGCCGAGCGGAAGACGCTCAAGGCCGGGCGGTTCAGCAGCATGGCGTGCGTGAAATGGCCGATCATATGCTCGACCTCTCTGCTGGCCACTCGCCGCCGCCGCAGCAGCGCCTGGGCCTCGGGCCCCAGCCGCCAGCGCTTCGCACGCGCCAGCCGGGCCCGCAGCATGATGACATCCAGCTCCAGGACCAGCGCCTCCATGTTCGTCTTGCTCTCCTCGACCTCGTGCTGCGGCTAGCCGGCCTCGGACGCATCCGCGGCAGCTTGCCCGCGCGCGCCTCTGGTGGCGCCCGCCCGCGAGGAGAAGAAGATCTCGTTGTCCACGTGCACGGTCCGAGGAACCTGGAGCGACTTCACGCTGGGCGCGATCTGCTGGTCGATAAGTTCGCCCTCGACGCCGCCGAGGCCTCCGCGACGGAGCAGCTCCCGGTGGGCCTGCAACGTCCACCTCGTGGCCCACGAGAAGCCCATGGGAAGCGCCCTCAGGCAAGGGTAAACCCACGCCCCGTCTGCGAGCGCATGGCCGCCCACCTCCTTCGCGCCCAGCTGGCGGGCCCTGAGCGGGCGCGCGCCGAACCGCGACGCCATGTAGTCCGGCACCCTGAACTGATAGAAGCAGTCCGCGACGTCCTGGATCGTTGGCGGACGCCGCCCACAACCGCCGCAGTCGACGCCATGTGGATCGTTGGCGGACGCCTCAGGGCCTGGTTCAGACGGCCCGACTTCTCCCAGGCGAAAAAGACTCCCACTTCAAAATCGCGATGAGCGCGCAGCTCCACCACGCCACGGCCCAGCAGGTCCTGCAAGAACTGCGCGTGCTCATCTTTGTCGGATTGCAATGTCTTATCCCGGCGCACCTTGGAGGCGCCGGGGCGGGCCTCGTCAGCGCGAAGCATCAGCGAATTCTCACCGCCAATCACCTCCAGCGATCAGACGGCGCGACCACAGCGGGGCCGTCGGGGCCATCGCCCAAACTGCCCGAGCCGAGCAGATCCACAAGGGCTGCCTCGGGGCTGGGGGCGTCGCCCGGCGGTTTGTCTTCAGACACGGCCTGCCAGAGCATGTCCACAGCGGAAAATGGTGCCTCCGAAGGCCGGGCCTTCGAGCAAAAGTCGACCTCCCTGCGAAGGTTGTTCAGCGCGGCGACGCAGTCGTTCGCGCGGCGGCCAACAGCAGACCCGCGGCCAATCCTCTGGGCGGAGCGTCGCGGCAAGGACCGCGCGTCCCGAGCCGGGCGCGCGGGCGCTGGGGGCAAGGGCAGCAAGTCCCTCGGCACCATGCGACCCAGGGCCCTATCGGCGCCGGCTGGGGTCGGCCACTCCCCGGCCTCGAAGTCCATCAGGACTTCTTCGGGGGAGCGCGCGCCAGGGCCCGCTCATCCGCCGCCTTGCGCTTCTCCTTCAAGATGGCCGAGTCCCTCACAGCAGACCCCGCCACCCACTTCAGCAACTCGGGGCTCGCGATGGCGCCGCCCGCACTCCTTGCGCGCCCAAGGTAGTAGCCCTGGGAATCGAAGTCCTTGACCGTATCCTGCTTCTTCTTGTGCTCAATGAACTGCATGTGCCTCGCCAGCGCCTCCATGCTCGCAAGGTTCGACACGTCCATCTGGTCGTAAGTGCAGGCCAGCGCCAAAATCTCCGAAAGCATCTCGTGGGCGACCACAATGTGCTCCTCGTCGTTTTGCTCGTTCTCAGGTTTCCAAATCGTGCGGCGCTGGACGGGGCCCCCGCTCTGCTTGGAAATCTCCGTGACCACGGACAGCGCGGTGCGGGGCCTGGACAACACCCAATCCTCGAACTCAATATTATCGGCCGTCTCCGCCACGCCGTTGAGGTCGCGAAGCCGGCGGCCGGCCGTGTCGCGCCTGATCGCCAGCGTGCGCGCATCCTCCGGCGGCGCGGGCGGAGTGGGGCCCCCCCCACAAGCGCGGCGGGCGCCTGCTCCGCCGCGAAAGCCCGCTGCGCCTCGCTCGCGGCCCCGCTCGTCGCCAGCCTGACCATGACCGCCGAGCTGCCGCGCCCGCCCAGGTCGTATACGCCCGTACCTGCCGAGCGCCACGAAGTCCTCGGAGGGCGTCTCCAGCGAGTCGGGCAACGAGTAGACCTTGCCCAGCTTCACGTCGCCCTCGGCGACCACACATCACCAATCAGCGCGCTCGCCGCCAGGAGGCGCAGCGCGGTCGGGCAAGGGCGGCGCCGGCTCGCCCGCAGGTTCCGGCTCGTCGCCCGCCAGGGCCAGCCCCGCTCGTCGCGGAGCTCCGCGGCCTAGGCCTCCGCCGCGTCGAACCAGGCCTGGAGCGCCGCGCCCTTCGGCTTCTCCGTGAAGCGGTACACCGGATGGCCCTTCGCTGCTCCAAGGCCCGCCGGCAAGCCGCCCCTAGGCCCAGCCTGCTTGAAGTCCACCACAGGCCGGGTGTCGATCTCCTCCTCGTACATATCCTCGTCGGGCGTCAATGCTATGTACCGAGCCCCTCCCAGGGCCGCAAGAATCAGCCTCTCAGCCTCTCATGCCCAAGTTCCCCGGTCTCGCCGCAGTCGAAGAACATCCCGTCCCCCGGTTTGAGGTTGAGCGCCCTGCGCACGAACCGTTTGGGCGCCATTGTTTTCGACGTGAAGAGCAGCCGGACTCACGGCGCACTGCTCGGTCTGCGGCCTCACCTCCGACTTGGTGAACCCCCACAGGATCACGCGCACGGGCACGAGGCACGTGCAGATGGTCGCCTGCACCGCCGCCGGCACAACCAGGATCCCCAGCAAGAAGCTCACGGCCACCGCGAAGACCGCGGCGCCGAGCGGGACGGGCGCCCCCCAGACGTCGGTCTGCGAGAGGCAGGCGTTGGCAGTGGTCGAGATCGCCAGCGCACACGGCGAGACCCACAAATCGCTGGCCCAGGAGCACTCGGCGGCTGGAGCTTTTGGGGGAGTGCTCCAGCCGAAATCTCCCATTCGCCGCCACAAGAGAGACCGCTTGAACTGTACTGGTTACGGCCAGGCGGGAAAACATAGCATTGAACGCTCTGTGACACTCTGCTGCGTTCCGTTTCACACTGCTACTACAGGAGGAGGAGGAGGAGGAGGAGGAGGAGGAGGAGGAGGAAGAGGAGGAGGAGGAGGAGGAGGAGGAGGAGGAAAGGAGGAGGAGGAGGAGGAGGAGGGAGGAGGAGGAGGAGGAAGGGAGGAGGAGGAAAGGGAGGAGGAGGGGAGGAGAAGGAGGAGGAGTGAGGGGGGAGAGTGGGAGGAGGAGGAAAAGGGAGGAAGGAGGGAGGGAGGAAGGGGAGGAAGGGATGGAGGGAGGGAGGGAGGAGGGAGAGGAATAGGAACAGGAGGGAGGGAGGGAGGATGAGGAAGATGAAGGAGGGATGGAGGGAGTGGACGGGAGAGAGGAAGGGAGGGAGAAGGAAGAGGAGGGAGAGGAAGAGGAGGGAGGGAACGGTCGGGGAGGGAGAGAGGGAGGGAGGATGAGGATGGAGGATGGGATGAGGATGAGGATGAGGAGGAGGAGGAGGAGGAGGAGGAGGAGGAGGGAGGAGGAGGAGGAGGAGGAGGAGGAGGAGGAGGGGGAGGAGGGAGGGAGGAAGGGAGGGAGGGAGGGAGGGAGAGGGAGGGACGAGGAGGATGGATGGACGGAGGGAGGGAGGGAGGGAGGAGGAGCGAGGGAGGGAGGGAGGAGGAGGCGGATGCGAATGAGCAGCCCGTGGAAAGGCGGTGGGCCTGCGACCAGCCTACCTGGGCGCCCGGCGGCCGCGCGGCCGCTCGGGCGAAAGGCGCGGCAGCCCCGGCGCTCCGGCGGGCAGCCCCAGGCGCGGCAGGGCCTCCCCTCTCTCTGGGACCTCCGGGCCCGAGCCGGATCTGGTCGCGAGGCGGGATGGTATCACCGTCGCCGTCGTCGTCGTCGTCGTCGTCGCCGCCGCCGTCGCCGTCGCCGTCGTCGTCGTCGTCGTCGTCGTCGTCGTCGCAGTCGTTGTCGACGTCGCCGTCGTCGTCGTCGGCGCTGTCGCAGTGGCCGTCGTCGTGCCGCTGTCGTCGCGTCGCAACTCGGCCTCCAGAGTGTTGGTAGTCGATGAGAAGGCGCCGACTTAGCGTCGATCTAGCATCGGGTAACGTCGACTAGCGTCGGTTGGCGTCGATTCGCAAGAACCAGCAAGATGGTACGAGGGGATACTCTGCTGTTGATCAAGGATCACGCCCTTCACACTCAAGAAACCCCACTCGTCGCGACCGTCGACAACACCACGCCCCACCACTGCCACGTGTTCCACTTCCGGGAGGCCGTCCGGGAACGCGACAACCATCCGCATACCGTCGTATGCATTACGGATCGTGCCCTTCCAACTCCGCGAGCCCCACTCGACGACTCTCAACACTATCACCGCTCCACGAACACTACGCTTTCCCCTCAAGGGAGGCCCCGTGGGAGCTTGACGCCTATCTGCATACTTGGAGGATATTCTATATGCGTTTACCACATCCTGGGTGGGGCCGCTGGGTGGGGCCGCTGTTTTCTCCGAGCGTTCTCCTTCTTCTCCTCTTCATCCTCTTTTGTTCCTCCCCTTGCACGTTGACCCTAGCAGAGCCGCATCACCTTGGGCCGACCCCCTTCCGAGGACAGGAAAGTGCGAGAGGGAGAGTGAGGAAGAGGAGGAGGAGGAGGAGGAGGAGGCTAAAGGGCAGAGGAGAAGAAAAAGGGAGGGCGGAGGATGCTCTCCCTCTTTCCAGTCCCTGGTTCGAAGCCATCCCCGCGCGCGCTACACAATTACGGCAAGGCCGTGCCGTGACGACTTCGGCGCTGGTTTCCGACACCGCGTGCCATGAGATCCGACGTTGCAACAAAAAAAACATCGCAAGCAAATCGCGAACGGAGACAGGGATCCCATCTCTCTGCTTCCTTTTTCGAGCCGGATCGATCTGTGAGGGCCCTGGGGCCCGAGCCTAGGCGAAAACGCCAGTTGGGGAAATATTGCAACGCCAAGATGTCAGGGTGGATCATTCAACCCTGAACGATCGGCGGCTGTTCGATCGTCAGATCGTTCCATACTGGTCACTGCACTGACCTTGCGGATGTGCTGCAGCGGATTTTTGCATGGATTTCTGTCACTGCAAAACCCCGAAACGGCGAGCTAAAAACGAAGTGAATTTCACGTGGATGTCTGCAGCCTTCATTCCTGGCCATAGAAGCCCGCACGAACTTCACTCTGAAATCCAGCACGAAATGCTCCAGGACAATCCGGGCCCATCCGATTGTTTTCCGAACGAAATCCGCTCTGCGATGTTGGCGGCATGATGCTGGCTGTTTCTGGGCCACTGGCGCCGATCAAGACCGAGAACGCCCAGCACGAGAACCTGCCGTGGAGGCCGCGCGACAGACAACTCCGCGATGTCGGCGGCGCTCGGCGGCCAGGACAAGGATAAGACGAGGCCAGGACGAGGATACATCCGGTGAGGATAAATTACCTCCTCCTCCTCCTCCTCCTCGTCCTCCTCTCGCGCAGGCGCAAGAAGAAGCCAGGACGAGGACAACATCGGGTGAGGATAAATCGAGAATCTCTGAGATCTGGCATCCCTGGGAAGCCCGCAGAGGCCCCCAAGAGCCTCTCAAGAGGCCCGCAAGAGGCTCCCGAGAGGCTCCCAAATTCCTCCCTGGAGGCGCCCGAGAGCCTTCCGAAGAGACCCCAAGAAGCATCCTTGAGGACTCTTGCCCACAGCAGCCTCGTCGCCGCCGCCGCCGCCGTTGTCGCCGCCGTCGTCTCCCTTCAGGGTCGGCGGCACCGGCCGCAGGGCCTGCGCAATCTCTGAGATCTGGCGGCTCTGGAGGACGTCTCGGGGGCGCCTCTCAGAGCGTTCGGGAACGCGCTGAGAGCGTTCTGGAACGCTCCCCAGACATTGCGACGTCCTGATTTTTTCAAGACAGCGTCCCCAGAAGTCCCGACCCTTTCCCTGGGGCTGTTTTTTCATCCCGAATCGTTTTTTGACGGTCCCGAGGCCTGGCGAGGGCCCCCCGAGGCCGAAATTTGCCGAAAACCTCCCGTCCCGATTCTTTACGACGCGATCATGTCTGGGTCTGGAACGGAGATTTGTCCTCGTCCTAGCCCTCACGAGCGGGGAACCCGACCGGCTGCGGCCCCACCCATGGGGCCCCACAGTGCATGGTCGAAGCAAGCGGGTTCTTCCTGTAAGTCGGGCGCGTCCCCCTGCAAGGGGATTTTGGGCGAAAAATGAAATATATCCAAGATATCTCAAGATGATTAAGATAAATCATCGGAAATCGTCCCCAGACTATTCTTTACTATCTTGGAATCTTTCTCCTGTAGAGGGACAGGCCCGACTTAAGCGTAGCCTGAATATCATGGGCAGCCCCACGCGTGCTGGGCCCTCCCGTTGATACAGATCTGGCAGATGCGGAGAGAGTGGGGCGACAGGTGTAGGGGAGAACTAGGGCATGCGTTTGCATGTGGCAAGCAGGCCCCGCTTTCCCATCAGCGGCCTCACTGTTGGTGGCAGTTCTTCTTCTGCTTCTCGGCAGCCTCCCCTCCCCCTTCTGCATGTCTTCACCCTCATCCTCGGCGTCGTCCCTCCCTCCGTTTCCTCCTCGTCCTCTCTTTCCTTTCCCTTTCTTTTGGGGGCGGCCCCAGAAGGAATCACTCTTCCATGTTATCCTCCTTCAGATCCTCGTCGTCCTGCTGCTCCTCCCTTCCCTCATACTACTATCAGTCCTGCTTCTCGTCGGTCCCTTCCTTATCTGCCACATTCTTCATCAACTCCCCTTGCTCCCATTTCCATCCCCCCACCCTCCCCGCTATCGTTCCCCCTCCTCTTTCCTCCCTGTCCTCCCACTCAGCCGCCCTGCTGCTCCATCACCATTTCTATCGCTCACCTCCCTCTCCACCCGATCCTCCCTCACCTCCCTCTTCGTACGCCCCCCTCCTTCCTCCACCTCTCTCCGCTATCTCCTTTGCATCATCCCCTCCCACTTCTCTCATCAACCTTCTCCCTATCGTCTTTCGTATCCTCCTCCTGCACCCCCCCCGTCTCTCCTTCCCCCCTCCCTCGCATCTCCCTCGTGCAAATTGAACAAAACGACCTTGACGAAGATAAAACCCTGTCTCACACCAGGCGGTCAGCGCTGACAGTACACGTTCTTGAGCCAAGCGCCGGCAGCTGCACAGCAGCATGGGGACCCACATGGAGAACAAACCTGTTGACATGGTCTACATGCGACTTTAAACCAATTTGCCTGTCAGCAAATGGTTAAGGCGAGTGGGCAATACTTGAATCGAGGCATATACAGAATACGTAGGGGAAAACAACTGACCAACGCGCACACACTACAAAGCTCAGTACGCAATTGGCAAAGTGAACATAGTGCATGGCGAAACTGGGAGAGCGGTACCACACATTACCAGAACTATAGCGGGATCTCCGCTGCATCTTTATTCGGCACACCCGCCTCGTGACAAAACAACGCTTGACATGCGCTTGGTCAAAGCGCGACGGATCTTAGCGAGAGAAGAGGTGGGATATATTTCTCGATGACTAAGTGTCCCTCGGGGCCTCTGTGCCCTGATGGAAGTCGACCTCGGCCCTTGGCCCTTCCCTTCGCCATTGCCCGCGCCGATGCGCGCGAACTCCTCCTCGCGGTTACGCTTCCGGGTGAACGTGCACGTCCGCGCGCCAGGCTCCACGACGAAGCGGTTATCGTTCCAGGCGTCATATTCCTCATCGCTGTCACACCAAGCACCGATGGCGTTGTCACGCACACCCAGAGGCTTTTTAGCAGGCGGACTGATCGCTAATGCCGCTAGCCCTGCCCAGTGCTTCCCAGTAAGTGAAGTCGGGGCGTCTTATGATGGGCGCATCCCACCTCAAGTTGAGATCTTTCAGCCCCTGCCCGTGCACGTCCTCCGAGTGAGGGTTGATCACCCAAGGCTGTGAATGGCCCGCAAATGCTGGCCACCCGAAGGGCTCTGAGCCACCGCGAGATCTTCCCTCCCAGGAGAATGCCACGGCGAATGCCACGGCTGGATGAACCCCCCCTGCATATGGTTACGGACAGCCTTGTTGAGGGGCAACGATAGGGGGGGCGGATAGGCATAGGGGGGGGATGCATCGACCTGGAATCGGCGATACATCGCCGATAGATCGGCGATATGCCTCCGATGGCGAATCCGCACCTTCCTGAGCAGGTTGGGGCTATCGGGCCCCTATCGGCGATCAATGGGCGATTGGGGGTCGATGCATCCCCCCCTATGCCTATCACCCCCCTATCGTGGCCCCTGATTTGTGAGGTCCGCTGTTAGCTCAAGTGCTTCCACCAGCTCGGCCTCCCACGCGCGAGGCCTCCCGGCGGTGTCGTCGAAGCTATTGTGCAGAGCAGCTCGAGGTTAGCGCTGACGTCGACGCGCTGCTTTGCCAGCTCGCGCGTTAGAGACCGAACCGCAACCGCGCCTGCTTGAATGACCTTGTGGCCTCGGCGGACTCTTGAATCCCTGTGGGGCACTTCGGCGGCCAGTGTGGCGGCGCTCCCGGGCCGAAGGGTGCCGAAGCGAGCCGTGACCATGTGGACGCACTCTCGCCCTCGGCGCTCGGGCATGTTGCTGATGTGGTAGTCCAGTCGCGGACAAGACAAGGGATCTGGTGAGGCGCTCTGGGGCCAGGGGCACCACCCCCATCATCAGGGAGCAGGCTTGACTGGCCACTGCCAGCCGCGCCCAATCATCATGCTCGTCCCGACAGTGATCCGCCAGCGCGAATCGCCACTCGGGTGGGCCCTCGGGGTAAGCCTGGGGCCACATGCAGAGTAAACGCTGCCGTATCGTTCCCCGAACGAGTCGTTGTTAAGTGGCGCGGACTTCGCCAGTGGCGACGTTGCCCAGCGGGCCTTCCAGGTTACCCGCTTCGCGAAAGGCCTGGCCCTTGAAGCAGTCGCCCCACCACCTCCTCATCGCTGCAGTCAGGTTCATAGCCCCCTCGGCTGCTTGCGGCACTTGGGATCGTGGCCTGTGCGTTGGGCGGCAGGGCCAAGCCATCCCGCGTCTCGACGAAGAGCCCGCGGGGCTTCGCCAACGCCACGAAATCAGGGTCAGCTATCTCGCGAGCACGCAAACGAGCCTCTCGGCCCACTGGGCTCGGTGACCGGCGCGGCGATGGAAGTCTGAGAGGCGCCCCTGTCGAGGGCGGTGAGTCCGACTCGGACGCGTCCATGGCAGTCCTTCTCGGTTATTCCTTCGCCTTTGCCTCCGCCTCTCGTTGCATTCCCCGTGCGTTCTGGCGTTCTGTCTGGCACTTCCGTCGGTGAACTTTGCTCCTTTCCCCCCCGCTGCGCGAGATTGGCTGCGACCAGGTTTGCCGGCGAGGCCCCTGGCTCTCTTCGGCGCAGCCACTCCAGGAGGGTTAGTCGAACCAGACGCGCTCGAGGCGCCCAGTGGGCGAGGTGCCGCAGCCACGCAGGGCGACGCGCCACTTGGAGCCTTCGCTTGGGCCCCCGCTGGGTTGCCCCCGTGGTCGCCAGTGGCGCGGTTAACGGCCCTGGGAATTCAATTATTGATTTCATGGCCTGGTCGGGTTGAGCCCGCAAGCCCTCTTTATTGCTCAACAACACACTCACCTCGCTGACAATGGTGACGCCATGGTTGCAGATGTTGGCGGATTCGCGCCATGTGGCGGCCCCTTGGCGCGATGCGTCGCCTCGCGCTTGACGAGATCGTCACCTGCGCCCGTGGCCTCGTCGTTCGATTTCTGATGTTCGCGGTTGTGCTCCATCGACTACACGTAGGAGTGGCCCTTGGCTAGAATGACCTTTGCCGCGCGGTTTCAGAGTCGCCCGTGGGGGCCAAACGCAATCGCGCAAGCCGGCGTTGCCGCGCCGCATCAACGATCGGCGGGGCGCCACTCGAAAAATGTTCTGCGCTGGCGGGCAACCGCGGAATTCCGCCGATTGAATTCGAGCGCCCCGAATGGCACATCCCGGGGGGCACCTTGAGGAGTCTGGCGCTGACGGGCTGCATCGCTGCGAGGTCTGACCAGGCCAGGCGTCATGGCCCAAGCCGGCCCCATCCGAGAGCGTGGAATATGTTCGAATATCTTTGGGTAACTTATAACAGGGAAGATCCCAATTCATTCGGAAAACAAATCCAAACATATATTCAAAGATATCCAAAGAGATGCAAGCCAGACGTTTTCGGATATGGGCTGGAATTCGGGATTGTTCCTGAGCCGGAAAACGCGCCAGCTGGTCGACCGACCCCCCCCCCGGGTAACCAATGCAAGCTGTAGGGTGCGACGCGCATGCGTTGCTGTCGACCGCAAGGGGTGGGCCCAGACCTGGCACGCTCAGATGCGAGCGTAATCGCGCGATGCGGGTGCCGACGCGAGGTCGAGCTCATTCCAAAAGAAAAATCACCAAACCCCCTTTGGGCCAGCACTCAAGGTCACTGCGGAGAAGAGTCACTCTTACGTGTAGTCGACTCCAGCAATTCCCTGTTCGGGTCCATCATCTCGTTTAGTGCTGTCTGGAGCGGCTCGAACGCCCCCTGGTGACCAGCAGGCGCGGATCCGGCTGCATCGCTTACGTTGCGTGTAAAACGCAACCCGCGATCCGTAACCTCGCCAGTGCAGTTGTTTTGAATGATGACGTCGTGTACCTGGTCACAAAGTTGCGCAAAGCACCCCGTTTTATCGTCGCGACTGGTGATGTCTTCCTTGGAGATGGGTCCTGGATCGGGCATGTCGATCTCCTCGTCGTTGATGGTCAGCTGTCTGTTCGATTTGGGCTTGACAGCCGACATGTCTGCGCCCGCCATCGCGAGGTGCCGGAGTAAAGGGCATATGAAAAGGAAAATATTGAGACGAGGTCTGTCGCGGTGACTTGTCTTAAAATGGCCGCGACCCGTCTCGCATTCGGTTGCGGGAACCGGCTTGTGCTTTGACGCGCTCCACATCGCGTGCAGTCTCACTGTCCGGCTACCATGCTACTGATTTAAACCATCTGCTAAGTTGACACCAGTGCCTACATTAGCTACCTTGATGCCTTGATGCGTCCACTCTTCAATTCATCTTGCAAACACAACTGGCAAGCCGCGGTGAGCCCCTCACTTCAACGAAGTGCGTTCTGCTTGTCACTCGGAAACTCATCGTTGCAGGTTGCCCCAAGAGTCTCTGAATGACTGAAGGCAAATGACCACATATGCCCCCTTCAACCATTCCATAGTACTCCGCCTCTCCAGGTTTGGAGGCGATTACTGATTGGTCCATGTGGTGTTACCCCACATCGCTACTCCACCGCTGGTGGATTCCCGTTCTCTTACATCCAGAATAGCGCTTGCCAGGCCACGTTGAAGCATTATTCAGGCATGTCTTGATATGTATACACGTCCCTGGTCAAACAGTGGACTTCCAATTCGTCCCAGACCCGGGCGCATGCTTCCCATGCTCCGACCGCGGGTGATGCGATGTGTCTAGCCAGTTCTTGTACGACACACTGGATGTTTGATCTGTCTCGCGTTGCGTCTTTTGCTCGTGACACGAAAGCCGGAAGCGTTCTATTATCGAGAGCTCCTGAAGCCTCTTCGTTAGCCTCGCCCCCAAGGAACTTCCCCCCTGGCGCCTCGCACCTGTCTTTATCCTTTTCCAACGTCCGTTCCCTTGCAACGACTTTGCACGCCTCTAATCTGCCTCGTAACTTGCTCCTTCGTGCGCCTGCTGAAGAACGACGTTTAAGACCCGGGTCGACATGTCACCCTCCTTCAAAAGACCCACCCCCCCACCCCATCCCTCAGCCTCACCTCGAACTCCCTGTACTTTCTTGTCGAACCAACTCAGATCTTGCTTCCGGCCTAACATTGTGGAGCCATCGCCATGAACCGCCCATCGCACATCTGTCGTCGTGGGTAAACACGCACGGCGATGCTCGCCCTGGCGTAGAACCTGCTTTCGTGCCGAAGTCCATGCAGAAATCTTCCAAGTTCGTTGCTGCGTCACGCGTGCCGGGGATTGGCCCAGGAAGCTTACCACACTTCCGGGCACCATGAGCGCCTGGTAGACATTCGGCCCCTAAATAGATACAGCATGTTGATATGTATCCTGTTTCGCGGGTGCCAAACGATGCGCCCTCTATATATCGACGAATGCTAGCTTAAGTCCATTATCAGTTCCGCATGCTCTGTGCAATTCCGTCGGTCGCTGACGTCGAAAAAACGACGTTGATATTCCAATGGTGGCGCGGGAGAAAATGTTTTCCTTCTCGTTTGAATTGAGTGTTACCTGATGGGGCACCAACTTTGACCTGTCCTCTGGATGGTCAGCACCCCCTTTGTTTATATACCTATGGTTCCTGCTGGTGCCATTCCTGTTCTTTTCCAGCACTCATTGTCATCTACCTTCGCGCAAGCCTGGTGCTGGTGGAATTTGCCCGCTCATCTTGCCAAGCCTTCGCAGTAGTTCTGGGGTGAGGTCATTCCCGCCTTGCGAGTTGCGGTGGGTCATGCGCATCTCCTTGCGAGTGTCTGGGGCGAGGCGTGCCATGGAGTGGCGCGCCTCGAACTTTACATCAATTTCGAAACCGCCTTCATGCTCGAGCGACCCTGTTGGTCTTCTGCGACGACGCAGGGGGATTGCGTGGCGGTGTTCCTGCGCCCTCGCTTGAATTCCCTTCGCGCGTCTCGACCAAGTGCGCCGTCTGCGGGCGCAATTTCTACGGTCTCTCCCGGTTCGCCATCGTTAATCACCCGCCGCGCGCGCGAACTCCATGGTGGACCTCCGGGGCCTGGTAACATTAGTGTGTCCGCGCTGTTTTCTTTCCTTGTCCGTATTCGTAAGGCAATGCGCACTTTGGGCCCACCTGCGGATGGCGTTGCTTCCGTCGCGCATTCAACGCAACGACATGTTGCGATTTTGCGATTTGAAACCGCATCCGTTCCTGCCATCACTTTTGATTTCCTGGGCCAGACTCGCTAGCATGGCCGCGCGTAGCTCTTCTTGGTGCACCCCCAATATTGTCGCTCGGCATCCTCCCACTGCCTCTATGTATGCAGGTGCGTTCCTTGACGCTGAATGCTGGGTCCAATTCCGATCATCACCGCATTAATCGTTCACCTGGTCTGTTATATTCTAACATGCTTCTCCGCGTCGCGTAGGAATCAGGACGCGACTGCGCATGTCCCTGCGCACCTGGGTGTTCAAACATTCCTTGGGCGGAAGTGAATTGCCAGCTGGAGGCTGCTGCCAAGAGTTCAAATAGAGGGTGCAGGCCGCTGCGTCTCTGGACTCCGCATAGTTCCAAGGCAGAGTTACAAGCTTCGCGCCGTGCTCCACGAAATGTTCGTCTCTGCCTGCGCCTCGGCGCATCGAATTGAGCATCGCAAGAATGCTGAATGCCGGGCGCATTCGCCATGCCACATGCAGCAGAGCAGCTTCACTTTCTACCAGTGTCGTTGCCGTCTGTCTCATGTCTAATGCGCTGCAGCCTGCGAACAACTTGGAAATGTCAGCTCGCGCGTTCGCGCGGCGGCCATTGCGTGCGCATCGTGCCCGGGGAAATCCTGCGCGGCGGCATCGGGCGCTGCGCACGCGCGGGGCCGACGTGGGTCAACGCGCTTGCGCGGCTTCTGCGATGGTTGGGGCGCCTGGGCAGCGGCCCCATCCGCGGCCGAACAACCTTGACACTCTCCGACAATAAGTGTCGGGCGGGTCCCAACATCTGCAGAAACTCTGGAACTTCGGCGCCAAGTGCGTCCCGACAACGGTCTCGAACGGTCTCTCCTGCGGTCTCGGGTTTCAGAATATCGCGAAAACCTCGGCGCAGAACGCATCCGCGAGTCTCGCGCGGTCTCGCAGCGCCGCGAAAGCCACGCGCGGCCCCCGGGTGATGCGGAACCCTTGGCAATGATCGCGTTCGCGCGTCTCGCGGGATATCGCAGCGCCGCGATCGCCTCGGCGCCGAGCACGTCCGCGCGCCCGGCGCAGCCTCGCAACGCGACGGCGAGAGGACCATTCCGACGACCACGCGCAAGCATGCAACGCAATCGGCGGGGGGCTCTGCACGTCAAGGGGGGGGGTCGTTCGGCCAGATCGACGCGCCGCTGAAACGGCGGGAGAACCAGACTGTGGCCAGTAGTGGGGTGAGGGCGCATGTCTTCCTCGTCCTCGTCCATCGTGCACGTCCTCGTCGTTGTCGATGTCGTCGTTGTTGATGTCGTCGTTGTTGACGTCGTATCCGTCGCCGTGACCTTCGCAACTGCCGTCGCTGCCGTCGTCGCCGCCGTCAACGCCGTCGCCGCCGCCGCAGTCGTCGTCGTCGTCGCTGGGCGAAATCGCAATCGTCGCAATCGCCGTCGCCGTTGCCCGAGCACGGCCCCCCGCAATGTTGCTCGCGCTGGAAATCAAGCGCGGCGCGGCGCGGCACGGCGCGGCGCGCGTTTCGAAGCCTTCAGGCACTGCGCGGTACAGCAGGGCGCATGTGTCGCGCTCTGCAGGCCGAGCGCGGCGCGTCACGGCACGCCCGCGGCCCGCGCGTCGCGCTCTGTGACCAAGAACCGCGTTTCTAAATCGACTGAATCGCCCCATCGCGCACGCTGGACGGGGCGCGCCCAAGTGCGCCATAACGCAAGCTCGCAACGAACAATCAGGGAACCAGGTGGCAATGTTGGATGAGGGCGGCGAAGGTAGACGGCGTCGTTGGGAACCTGAAGAAGACGACGCAAATAATTCGGGCCCGACGCGAAATCGGAATCAATGCTCAAACGTTTCTTCTCGAACTGTAGAACGCAAGTGGCTTCCATGATCATCGCAGGTACGCAGATCCATGGCAAGCCCTGCGGCTCGCCCCATCTTGTCGGCCACGCAGGTTACCTTGACGCGGGAATGTGCCTCCCTCGCGAGTTCCTGCGCAGATGCGTGGATTTTCCGCACTATCGGATCTGACGACGTTGGTCCCTTTATCGGCTGCCGATTTCGCAATCGCCCGGGTGATCTCCGCGTCGGGCAATCCTTGCATAATACACCCGACATGTGATGTCTTCGACTTCAGCCCGAATGCTTTCTCTTTCTCAGTCTGTTGTTATTATTCTGGTAACTGCTTTGCATGTCTCTTGTTGTGTGTCGCGTTTGGTTCAAAAGCCCGGTCGTTCGCAACTTCGACTTCGGACCAGCGGGTTATTGGGGCGGCAACTTGCACGCCGCCATCGACCCTCAAATCGACGTGTGTTCCCGCGCTTTCACCGATGTCATTGTCGATGGCATGCGTTGTCCGTTTGGTCGGTGGTCCCCAGGCGGATTTTGCGCGAAAAGAAAGACAGTCAGAACTCATTCCAAAAATGCTCAAACATCATTTTAAACAATAGTCCCCAGACTACTTGTTCTAATTATTTTTGAATACTCCTCCTGTAGAGAGACATGCCCGACTTCAGTCCAGGCGCTGTGAGACCCCCTCCCAGGGAAGGGCCTCGGCGGAGTCTGTCTCGCCGCCAGGCGCGGCGACGCCGGCGCCGTCCGCGGGCGCGGCGGCGGCCGCGGCGGCGCTGGCAGGTCGGCGGTGTGCGGGCGGGGGGGGGGCATGCTAGGAGGCAACAGCTGGGAGTCGGGGCTTCGTGAACGGGGGTTTAGCTAAACGGGGGCTTGGACTTTTCCATCGACTCCCGTTTACTGTGCCCCTGTTTACGGCGCCCAGGGCCCCCTAAACGGGGGCATAGCCAAACGTGGAAATCGGCGTTCCCCGTACCCCCCTTCGATGTGCCCCCGTCTCTGGCGCCTGAGGGAGGTCTTCGTCGGAAGGATTAGGTCGGGCATGTCCCCCTACAGAGCGGTTTTGGACGAAAAAAACCCTTCAAAGTTTCAAAACATACCCCTGACATATCTAAAACAACTATTTTTGAATACTCCCCCTGTAGAGGGACAGGCCCGACCTAATGTTAGGAGGCAAATGCTGGGAGGTCCTCGTCGGAAGGATGAAAAGGAATTGAGTCCCAATGGGGGGCTGCTACGCCAGATGAGGCCGCGGATGAAGCGGGATATTAAGCGGGATGACGCCGGACTCGGCCGAATGTCGGATCAGGGCAAAATCAGAATTTGACCTCCCAGGAGTTGCATCCGAAGACATGTCACGACTGTAAGCGCGATTTCGATAAAGCCGAATGAGTCAATTAATTACCCTCTGTACGGCGACAACGTAGCAAAGGCAAAATACGTCTGTCACGAGATACGTGTCGGAGGTGGTGAACCTGCAAAACATACATAAGAAATGCCATGCCTGATGTGATCCGGGCATGGATCAAATTGAAAGGGATGCTTGAGGATGCACGTCGAGGATGCACGTCGAAGTTCGGCGCGGGAGAGGGCAGGAAGATCAGAAACAAAGAACCAGTATCAATGTCAACCAGCCGGATGGCAACCGCCGACCTGTCACTGTCGAGGAGGCACCGGACTCTAAACAGAGGGCGGATGCGTTGCATGCGCAGTTGGACGGACGACGCGCGTGTCATTGGCACTCTTACCTCCTTCCCGGGCGCTGGGGGGAAGGAGGCGGGCGACAAACAACGCACCAATGTTCCAAGCGGCGTCCAGCCGTGGCGACGAGGGGCCCCCCCCCCGAAGGCCAAGGTCGTCTCAGCTCGCCCTGCTCTGATCATCGCCCGGCCGCACCCTCTCCCCCTCCCCCACTCTGCCTGAAGGACTCCGCGGGAGCGCAGCGGCGCAGAGCCGCCGGGTCGCCAGGACTCCGCGGATCGCTGCCTGACGGGTCTGGGGCCCAGAGGGGGCCCGGAGAGAGGGCTCCCTGGAGGCCGAAGACGGCGAGGCCCCTCGGTTTCAAATTTGGAGAACAAGTGTGGCTTCGCGGCGGTAGCGGGCGTTGAGAAGGGGGGGAATGGAGGGGGCGGGGGGGCATAACTTGAGGTCGGGCATGTCCCCCCACAAGCGGATTTTGAACGAAAACAACCCATACTCAAAACATGCGCAAACATAGCAACAAAAATGCTCAACAAATCGTCCCCTGACTATTTTGTGACTACTTTTGAATGTTCCTCCTGTAGAGAGACAGGCCCGTCGTAAGCATAACGTAACGCCCTCCCCTCTCAGCGTGGGTCTGGCGCCACAAAGTGTGTGGTGCTCGACGTACCGGGGTAGCGCCGGGGAGGCGCCGCACTGGGGGTGGGCGGGGAACGCTACGTCTCGAGCAGGGGCCCGACCGTCCCGACAATCCTATATCAAGGGGCCCAAGGACACACAACGAAATACGTACAACTCCCAGGATTCCCAATCTTTTTGAATAGTTTCTGGATTTTTGTTTTCCCCCCCCCATATTTCGTCATATTTTCCTGGGAGTCGACGATTATTTGTGTCTGTGTGTTTTTCCCCTCCTGAACATCGGCCTACCACGACATGCTCTTAGAACCCAGCACTGTTCGAATAACAAAAACAACGTTCTCAGAACATGAACCCGAGGTGTTAAAACAGGACAGTGCCGGCCAGAAATGCTCTGAGAACACTTCGTGGAAACTGGAAGCGGTTCTCAGAACACTGCTTGGTAGGCCTGCAGGCACGCCAGGGGACGCTTCGCCACTGCTTGAACGTATTAGGGGCAGACGGGGGGGATGGGGCATAGCTCGTGTTATGGCCCCCGAGGATACAGTGCGGGCGCGGCCGCAAGGAACCCTCGCAAAAAACCCAGCCCTGAAACCCGCAAGCGCGAAGTGCACCTGCGGGGAATCCTGGAACACCCTGACCGCAGCAGCTCCTTCAACGGCTGCGGGAAGCCACCGCGCAGCGCGAGGAAAAAAAAGAAACCCGGAGCACCCTGACGAAGAGCACATGGCTTCTTGATGCGCGCCCCCACTGCACCAAAACACCCTCTTGTCACCACGCTGGTTGAGCAGGGACCGACCGTCCGGGCATTCCTATAGTCCTACCACGAAATGTTCTTAGAACCCAGAAATGTTCTGAGAACAAAAACGGCGTTCTTAGAACAGAAACCCGGTGTGATAAAACCACAAAACGGACTCCGCCAGAACTGTTCCAAGAGCACGTCGTGGGAACCACGAAAGGCTCGTAGAACATTGCCTGGTGGGGCTATAGGCGAGCCAAGACGCTTCGCCACTGCTGGAGGTCCGGGCACCCCTCCGCGAGACACGTCTCCGCGAGAGCTCCGGCCGGGCAGAGAGGCCGCGGCGGCCTCGGCGCCCCGGCCGCGGCGGCCTCGGCGCCCTGCGCCCCGCGGCCCGCGCCGCCGGCCGCGGGCGGCGGCTCCGCGGCGCCCGCTGCCGCCGCGGCGCCGGCGGGTCCTGCGGCGCCGACCGGACACCGCGCCTCGGTGCCCCAGATGACGGGCCGGTTTTCCACCACCTCCACCATAAGTTGGAGGGGGGAAAGGAGGTGGAGGATGAGGAGGAGGAAGAGGAGGAGGAGGAGGAGGAGGAGGAGGAGGAGGACCCCCTCCCCCTGCAACTCGGGGCGGTGGTGGTGGAAAACATGCCCATCACCAGAACTCCGACGAGATTTTTCGAGTAGGATGTCGGGTCTACGGAGCCTGCATACAGGTGTTGTAGATCGACGAACAAACTACGATGTTTCCCGAAAGATCCATCGAACATGTCAATTTGGGTGGAAATCCAGTATATCGTCGATCCCCTACCTGAATCCCAAAAAAAGAAAAAGGCATGACCGTAAACTTTCTGAGCTCCACGCAGATTTCTTGGATCTGGAACACTCTCCCTGGCGAGCGGAGCGTGCCAGGGGCGGCGCCGGAGACGTCGCCAGGATGCTTCAGCGCAGATCAAACAATCCGCGCGGAGCTCCGAAAGTTTAGGTTCGTGCCGTGCTTCCTTATTCGAAAGATGGTTCTTCGAGGCGAGGCGGCGCGAGCCTAGGTGTTCGATCATGGAACACTTGTTACCCATTCGCCTTGGCCATTATCTGGCGGTCTTCTAGCAGTCTTCTGGAAATATTCGGCGGTCTTCGGCGGACCTTGTAGCCTCCTGTCGTTGACAGGCTGGTCTGTGTACAGTCAGCAAACGACGCATCAATGGAATGCCAAACTTTGAAATCTCTGGGGACATCTCATATACAACCCTGCAAACAAGCATCGGAATGCTGGTGCAGGTAGGAGACAAGTCCACGCAACCTGCGGTCGCAAATCCTGCTCCATTTCGTTACCTGGCGGGCTAGCATACGTACCGATTTGAGGATGTCGAATCGACAGACCCCAGTCGGCGTGTTTCCACTTGGGCCCGGCGTCGGTTTTGGCGCGGTCGCGCGTCGCCTGTGTCGGTGCGGGTCCAGCATCTCTAGGCGGCGACTCTGCGCCGATCCCTGGCCTCAAAGACCTCCGCCCCGAAAGGTTGCGGGCGGGGGTTCGAGCACGGGGGTAGCGGTGGGCTCCTCCTCCGCAGGGCCGTGCCCCACAGGCGTTTCTGCCTCAGCTTGGATCCGCGCGCGGTGGCCCCAGTGGTGAGCATCGGCATGCTCGCCACTGACTGCAGGCCAACTTGTTGGCGCATCAGGCAACGACCTCCCTGGCCGTAAGGATCGGGCAACGTTTGCCGCCGCCTGCGTTGGCGTCAGACCCGGCGTCTAGGACGTGATAGTCCTGGGGCCACTTACGCTCGCTGCTGGATTGGCATCCCATAAACAGACCTTGAGGGGTCCTGTGATCGAGCTTCTTTGCTGTCGCTGGTGAGCGCTGCGTTGCATGACCCATGGCAGACGCAGCACCGGACAAGAAGCACATGATCCTGAAACAAATCATCCTGGCATTTCTCGCGCCCCCCCCCCCGCAGCGCGCGCAGCCATCGTGTCAGCAGCACGCGAGCAGGCCTCGCTCCACCAGGCGTGCGACAACCAATTTTGCGTGCGCATTGATTTCGCGCCCTCGATCACACGTTGGGAAACAAGATAAGATCGGCAACGCCGTTGCTATGGGGACTGTGAGGGGTCGAAGTAACGCGGCGTAACTTCACGACCTCACGCACCTTCTTGATCGTTCCCGACTTGTCATAACAGATGAGTTTCACCATATCTCTTGGGGGCCTACACAATGTTGGACGCCACGCAACGATGCAACAGCAGTATTGCGCGACGCGGGGTAGCATGCCATGTCCCTAGCTCCCCGAACGCAAGCCAAACACCATGCAGTGCCACCATGACGTGACCTTTCACGATCGCTTCCTAAGATGATATGGCCCACCGCTATAAGGCCACTAACTTATTACGGGCCGCCCCCCCCTTCACGAGCCCCGATCCGATGTTTATGAACATCTTGTGGCAGGGCCCGCGTCGGCGATGCGTTCTGGGTCCGTTAGTGGGCCGGGAGGTCGCTCTGTCCAAGGATCGGGCGTCGGTCGATTCACTGACCGTTTAGCGGGACAAGTGATATTCACGACGTTGCCCCAAATCTCCAACGACCGCCCGCGATGATCGACCCCTTGGCGTCACGGCGTGTGAGATGCTTCCCCCTCCCCAAAACCCTCCCCCGCCAGCCGGGCCAGGCCGGTTTGGGGGGGGCACAGGTGTCATCAGGCCCAACGAGGCCCCAGAGGGCTCCAAGCAACCCCCACGACAGCCCAACCAGCCCTCGAAACGCCCAAAGGTCGGCCCAAGACGTCCAGGATGGCCCCAAAACGGCCCCAGAGACCTCCCAGACGACCCAGGAAGCCTCCAAGAGCATTCCCAAGAGGGGCCTCCGAAGCCAAAATCGTCGAATTCCTATTTGGAAACGTACATCTGTATACTATACGACATTTCGCCCTTCACGGCGTTGAAGACGGTCCCAGTCCCCAAAGAGCGCCCCAAAACGGCCCGAGAGGCTCCGCTCGGGACGGCCCAAGAAGGCACCAAAACGGCCCAAAGAGGGGCCCAAGACGGCCCGAGAGTGCCCCAGGACGGCCAGGGGCCCAAGAGGGGGAGCCTGAACCACAATCCGAGCTTTCCGCCCCAACACGGCCCCATGGGGGGCCCAACAGGCGCCCAACAGGGCCTATGAGGCCCCCAAGAGACCCCCCAAGAGGCCCTAAGAGGCCCCCAAAAGGCCCCCCAAGAGGCCCCAAGAGGCCGCACAAAAGTTCAAAAGAAGCCCAATGTACCACTTGAGGCGTGTAACTTCTAACCCGCAGCCCAGGCACCAAGGATCCCAGGCCGACAACCAAGGCGCGGTGGCAGGATGGGCCGAAGGCCATTATACATGCACATGAACTGCCGCGGGCATCCACCTCGATCGAGAGGAGGAAAAGGAAAAGGACAAGGAGGAGGAAAAGGAGGAGGAAGAGGAGAAACAAAAAAAGAGATTTCGTCGTCGCCGCCGATGTCTCACAGATTTCCACGATCTTTCGGCCCTCCGATGCATCTCCTCGAATTCAGCCTCCAGGAACCGTTTTGGGCGCCGGGGACCGCCGCCGAAAGTCCCGGGCGAGGGTCAACCCCCCTGGCCGGCGCCACCCCTTCGCAAAGGGACACGGGGTGGATCGAGGCTTGAGGCATGAGACTCCTAGTTATTGGGCGCTCTCCGCCCCCTCTGGGCCTTCAGGAAGCTCCTCGTCGACGCAGCTGGGTCCACTCTCGAACTTCTGGCCGGACGCAACCCCAGCTAGGCCGCATCAGCGAACCCCGAGCCTATCCAGGAGGTGGAAAAGGAGGCCTGGGACAGGCCCCGCGAAGGCCCCCAGAAACTCGCATAAGACCACGAAGAACTTCAAACAATCCCCTACACGCCCCCCCCCTGAACCCCACGCGCTACGCAGGACAGGCCGAGAGCCCAACATTTTCCAGCGATCGCGCGCGTTCCGCGAATTCTGTCTTTCACTCTTGCTGCCGCCCCAAGAGGTCGGCGGCGCGGCGCAAGCCAACGAATCTCCAACGACCGCCCGCGTCGATCGCCCATGATCAGAGGGGCGCCCTTTTGCAAATCCGAGTAGAACTTGCACTTATGGTCGTTGATCATGCGACAGCGTGAGAAAACGCCGGTGGCGCGATATCCTGGAAAACTGGGTCTACCTCGCCGTCTATCAGCAGCTCGCCAATGGTCATGCGGACCGTCTGCGCGGCGACCGCGGAGCCATGGCTGGTCGGAAGGGTCGCGCCCCTGTCCGGTTGATGCGCCCGGGCGCGCTCGCCCCCGTCGAGGCCCTCGTAACCGATGGGCTCGAAGCGCGATCCTGATGATATCGGCCACTCGCTCTCTTGTGCGACGACGGCAACGCTGCGGCTAGAGGGTGGACATTGGCGGCGTCTGTCGCCGTCGGCCAGTCTCCACCATCTGGCGTCGTCCGAACCCAGAACTGCAATGCCGCGCGCGGGTCGACGTTGGCCACCGACCCAAGGGTCGGGCGATCTTTTGCGCGCCCATCGCGTGCGCCAACGCGCTGGATTTCGGCGCGCTGCCTCGCGAGCGGACTCTTCAACTCGTTAGTGAACGATCTGAAATAACGAGACCTGTCGTTTCCGATTGGCTTCAGTCGACCCGGGTTTCCGTGATTGTTCTGGTTTCGAATCCTGCCCAGCAGAGTGCTGACCTCGATCTAACAAGTGCCCGCTCCGCTCCTGAAGCGCACTCGCCCAGCGGTGTAGGTCTCGTCGTCGCGGGCGGTTCTGCCGGCTTCGTCGCGAGGAGCGAGCGCCTTGGAAATTGTTCAGCCCCGCGGGCACCTTTGCGGTCGCATCCGTAGAACGGGCCACAACGGCCCCCGTGGCGAAACCCAGCCGGACTACCCTGGCACCGAGTCTCCTCGCCGCTAGCCCCAGGACTCGAGGGCCGCCCCCTGCGGTTCGAACTCGCGCCCCCTCCCCGCTGCGCGAGGCATGCCGAGAACGCGCGGCTAGGTGATGGAGGTGCACTGTGATTCCATGGGATGCAGACAAGTCCTCGCCCTGACATAGGGCTGTGCTCGCGGTCCTTCGGGTTGCTCTTGCGGCCGCTCTTGGGGCTCTTACCTCGACCAGGGCTTTTGGGCGGTGTTCGGCCCCTGCCATCATCGCTGGCAGCGTTCGGCCGCTTCTATCTCCTTGCCCAGGTGGCTGGTTCTTGGCCTCCATTTGGGGGTGGTTCTTGCCGGGGCTCTCGCTCCTAGTCCGCGCCCTCCTTGCGGGCCCCGGCTTCGTCCGCGGGATGAGGGGCCAGACTCCACGCGTTTGCCGTCGCGGCTATCCGAGGGGCCCCGCGATGGCCGAGCTGGACTGCGCCGCTTGCGCGCCCGACCTGTTCGAGCGGGCAGAGGCGCAGTTGCCGCCGACCTTGCGGCTGCCCCTCGAAAGACGGGACTGGATGTCCGAGGCGGGTCTGCGCAGCCAGAATTGTTGCGTTTCCAAGCCATCCTTTGCGCGGGCCATGCAAAACTCCGCGGGTTGTTTGTTGGCGTTGGGCTGCCGCGCCGCGAGCGTTTTCTCGCCGCCCTCCGTTTTTGGCGGATGGCTTCCAGGGCACCCGCCCCCACGGGCCGAACAAGTTCCTCGTTGAACTCAACCGTTGCGTGAGCCTCCGCAGACGGCCACAGCGACCCCCCCCCCTGCCCCGGAGGACCGCCCCCCACCTGGCGCGTTGAGAGCATCTGTCGTTCACGGAGCTTCTGGCGCCAATTGCGCAACCGTCGGCGCGCTTTGTCCGGGCCATTCCGCAACGCGCGGCAGCGCGCGCCCGCGTCGGCCCCCGCGTCTCGACGGCGTTCAAGTTGCGACCAAAAGAAGGGCTCAATCATGTTCCCGGCGGGCGCGCAATCCATGCCAAAGATGGCGTCGCCCCATGATTGAACGAGCTCACTTGGACTGTTGTCCGCCACTTCGACAACGTTCAAGTGAGAGGCGTCGAAGTCGCAACAATCTGCCTTAACGAGCCGATGCCAGTCCGTAATCATGAGAAGAGTCGGTCGCCCCCTAACGAGGCAGTTGCGGGCTTTGGCCCATTTCTCACGGGCGCCCGCCCTTCGTTTGAAACCGCCGATTTCCAAGGTGCCGTGCAAAGCTGATATTGTCTCTGCATCGAGCAGGTCGTAGTTTTTGCTGCTAGTGAGCTCCTTGTGTGGCGCAATCGCTTTCGACCTCGCGAAGCCATCGAATCGCCGCTTCGGGGCCGCCCGATGAAAAGCTGACAATCTCGAACGCGCCCTGCTTCCACTCTCGGAAGAAGGGGGGCTGCCTGCAGAGGTCGGAACTTGAGCCGCTCAGCCTCTTTATGCTTGAAATCTTCACTCGCCGGAAGTTTCGCGACCTCCTCAGCTGCAGACGAGCGGAAATTAAACGAACCCTCGCGCGTCCAAGGTCGATCGATATCGGGCGGTGGAGGACCCGCTGGTCTGTTGCATGCATTGCTGCTTTTTCCGCGTTGGGTGGATTGGAGCAACTGGCGGATCGCGCTGCAGCGGGCCAGGCCTCCGCTCTGGACGCGGCTGCGGCGGCGCAGAGGCCGCCGCGCGCCTGGAAGGTTTCTCAGTGAACTCTACGCTGGGTTGCCCCACCGCCGGCGGCAAAGCGTCGGGTTCCCCCGGCGGGCGATTATCGCGCGCGCTGGTTCGGCCTCAACGAATGACGGATAGGCGTATCGAGCGACCCTCCAGTCCGCCAGCTCTCTCGCCGCTGATGGCAACGGGCTGCTGTATTTCACCGCTGTTCGCCCGAACGGGCTCGCGCGCCTTGTCGCTGGCGAGGCGGCGAAGACTGCCTGGCCACTGCGGCAATGTGTACCGCCGTATGCTAGTGATGCTTGTCAATGGTGGGTGGCAGATGGTCCAGCCTTAAGATTATCCGACCCAATTCTGCTACGGCGTCAGTGCGGATTCTCTCTAAATTGGCCACGTGGAGATCGCTTGTAATTTAGCTGTTGTCCGGAGTTGGCGATTACCTAGTTCGCAGAAGACTGCCGCCTGGGCTATCCAGTCTTTCCTGAAGGAGGGCGGTCGTTGACAGCATGTCTTGCATTTGGGACACAATGTCGGAATTACTGCGTGCGATCAGCGCACATGATGTTGCAGAGACCCCCACGTCGTTCTTTTTGTTCCAGCATCATGGCGCATGTCTCCAGCGTTTGAAGAAGCTGCTGTGCTTGGTTCGACTATGGCGCGATCTGCTGCTGTCCATGCTGAAGTAAGTTCTCTGCTGCAGTGAGGCGCCCTATCAGATGTATCATCCCCTGGTCTGTCACTCGCTGGTCTGCTTTTCGGGTTGGTGCACATACTGCAACACGATGCCCTGCGACCTGACGAGCCCGAGGGTCCACACTCTGAGCCTGATGCGCTTGAGAGGCACGTGCGAACTCCGCAAAGGATGACCGCCACCTGTTAAGGTTGGCCTCTTGGTATTATCCGAACGTTCTCCTTTGCTCCCGTAAAGCCTGCTGCTGTGCGTTGGCTATTTGCTGGCTGAACGTCTGGAGCATCTCAGCACTTGGGACCGATCTTGGTTGTTCAGAGCTGGCTGTGTCCGACCATCCTCGCATTCCCGCTTGCGGCCCCGAAAGTCGTGGTTCCGATGCACGAGCTGCGACTTGCCCCGCCATCTGGCCTACAAAAGGCAAGGGCCCTCGCAGCTGGAGCTGCCGCCCGTGCTTCGGCGCAGCGGGGTAAAAGGGGAAAACTTCCTCTGTGTCTGACCCCATACGTGCGTGTGCCGAGCAAGCGGCGGGTTGCCCCACCGCGTGGGCCCTCTCAGTGGTTCGGGGTGGATGGTTTGACCCTTTTCCAATGGCGCGGTCATCTGGGACGCCTTGTCCGTACCCCGAGCGTTGCTTTTCAGCAGCCTGGTGAGAATTCACCGTGGCGAACAACGTATGGGAGGTGATGGCTTCAAGGCTGGCTTCCAGCTCGCCGGAGTTCGCCATCTTATTTGCAGCGCGCCGCGCTGCTTCAACTGATAGCACAGGTATGGGGATGGATCGGCCAACGGGCCGGAGCTCCTTTAGGTGATGGCTCCAGCTTGTTTCTGAACGCCGCTGGGCTCCTTGAAAAAATGTAACCTAGATATAATCTTACCCGTGTGCAGTGGCGACGGCACGGCGACGACGCAGCGGCGGCAGCGGCGGGAGACCGCGGGCGCGATCCCTGGCGACGCCTCGCGGGCCATACGCGTTCGAGGCGCACATCTCCCTCCTCGTGCTTGGTCTTCTGTAGGACGGAAGAGAGGAGGCATCTGAGGAGCGGGGGGGGGGGGGGGGGGCCCAACACGGACCACGGGGCCACCCCAGAACCCAGCGGGGGTGCCGCTCAGAATCTCACGCGTCAGCCCCGAGGGAAAAAGCACAGAAACAGCACACATGCCACACCCACTGTCGAAATCCAGCGCAACGGAAGAGACACCTGTGGTCGAGAGAGGCAGCGCCAGACCAACACGGCTTCAGGGAATGGGGAATCGGACAGGCGGAGGAGGAGGACGAAGAGGAGGAGGACGACCACTAGTACGAGGAGGAGGAGGATCAGGAGGAGGAGGAGGAGGAGGACGACGAGGAGGAAAAAGGAGCAGGAAGAGGACGAGGAGGAACATCGTGGGGCATCGGATCGGACCAGGGCGTGCGCCGGAGAGGGCTGCATCGTCCGGGAGCCGACAGCGAATCGGATCAGCAGCGCCAGGACGCACAACAGCGCCATGCAAGTATCGGGCCCCAGGCCGCATCGGATCGCCCGAGAAACGAACCCGATCCTTATCGAGCTGGAGGAGACCGGTGTCTAACTGGACCTGTCAAGCTTAGCGTGTCGCGGCGGCGGCGGCCCAGGCGACACGCTATGCCATGCGAGCGAAAAGCGTGTCGCTCCGCTCAGCAGGGCGGGAGGCTCGGAAAGGCTCGGGACGTTGACGACTGGGGACTGGGAAGTGGATAGCGTGTCGCGCCGAAACGCGGTGGGCCAGGACCGGCGGAGAGACACGCTAAGCCACAATCTCCGACCGTAAACTCGGATCTCCAGCGGCCGTTTGGGACGATCCGGGCAGCCCCCAGAGCAGGCTCGGCGAGGCGCAGCTGCCGCAGCGCACCCCGGGGCACGGCAACCTCCAGGAAACGTCCGAAGCCCTCCAGGGTCCCGAGGCCGACGGGCCGGTGGCGACATCAGCACCCTACCCCCACCAAGCATCGATCCTCCTGAATAAATGGGGGCGGGGGCAGGGCTCGGATGTCGCCACGTGTTCGACGACTCCCGGGCCCTACCCCCGCCGCCCATCGAGCTGCTCGAATTAAAACAGGGCTAGGATCGGGATAAATCGCTCCAGAGCGTTCCGGAGCGCTCTCAGAGCGTTCCGGAACGCTCTGGAGCGGCCGCGGCGCCCAATACATCCTCCAAACCCGCCGATTCTCAGAGATTTCGAGTTATCCCGATCCGAGTTTGCCCCGATCTTCGCGTCGATTTACGAATCCTTGATCGGCGAGGGCAGGGTTCGGATTCCGCCGCCGAGCGGGAGGAGGAGCAGCAGGACCACGACGGCGACATCGCCGAGGCTCCTGCGGCCGCCGCGGGGCTCGACGCGGAGGCACCCCCCGCCGCCGCGACCGGCTCGTCGCCGGATCTGGCCCCGCCGTGCTCGGGGGCCTGCGGGGGTCCCTCCTCCCTCCTCCCTCCTCCCTCCTCCCTGGGGGCGGGAGAGAAGACGAGGGGGGCGGGGAGAAGAGCCCGAAGTTCGACGAGGGCCCAGGGACGACGAGGGGGGAGAGGGAGAGCGGGGGCCTGCGGGGTGGGGTGGGGGGTGGGGGCGGGAGGGAAGACTGAAGGGGCCCCAGAACACGCAAAGAAATACACACAAATCAAAGGATTCCCCATATTTTCCCATATCTTCGGGGTTTTCGTCTTCCCCCCCGCTTCTCATACTTTCCCATATTTTCGGGGGAATTGCCGATTAATTGTGTCTGTGTGTTCTTTCTCCTCCTGAAAGACGAGGGGGGCGGGGAGAAGAGCCCGAAGTTCGACGAGGGCCCAGGGACGAGGAGGGGGGAGAGGGAGAGCGGGATGGGAGGGAGGGGCCTCGCTGGCCGCGGGCGCTCTGCAAACAAGTACAACAGAAGATCTAGCAGAAGATCTATCAGACGCGATCCAAAAGGGGAAGGACTGCGTCTATCCACTGAACACACGTGGTGAGCTGTGGGGTGAAATCTCGATGCCTTCGTCGACGGTGAAATAGCTCTGGACCTCCCCCCTCTTTCCTTCCGCGCGCCCGCTGCGACTTCCTCCACCTCCCTACCCCCGCTGGCTCCTCCCCTCCTCGTCCTTCTCCCCCCGTCCTCCCTCGTCCGCTGTGCCCCTCCTGCCCCTCCCGTTTTACGCGTACTGCTCGGCGTCCCCGTCCACACCTGTTGATGTGAATGATCTCATGTGCCTATTGCCTCTGCTCCGCTGCCGCTTGGGCGCAAGCTTGCTTCAGGATCGCACTAGGGGTAGTGCGTGGGAAAACGAGCAAGCTTTTTGTGAATTGGCCTGGAAGGGCCAAGTCGCGGGACTGGATAGTCCCTGAGAGGACCCCGAGCGGGTCTCACCATCGGGTCAAGGACGCCCCTCGGATCGACACAAGCTTGAGCCACCAGCTCACAGAGTACCGCCATAACAGATCATGGAGGCGGCGGCAGCACGACGGTCAGGAAGTTCACAGGAGAGGGTACCAACGCAGTGCAGGAGTACAAGACGTGGAAGAAGTGGGCGAGAGCACGGCTCCTGGTGGAGAGGGGCTGAGGTGCGAAGCCAGAGACGCACGGCCCCATGCTCTACACCCTGCTGGAGTGCGTTGCGGTGGACGCCCTGGAGCACGTGGAGCTGGAGGAGCTGGCCGTGGAGAACGGAGAGGAGAGGCTCTTCGAGGTGCTGGACTCCCGCTACCCCGACAGGGTCGGCGACGCGCTGGAGTCTGTGTTCGGTCTGGTCTGAAGCCGGGCGCAGACCATCTTTCTGAAGGCCAAGAAGGAGGGCGTCGAGATCCCCGACGTCGCGAAGGGGTTCCTCCTCCTTCGAGGAGCTCGTCTCGGTGGAGACCGGCGTGCGGTGGTCCTCGCGGCCAGCGAGCGGCAGTGGACGTTCGACAAGCTGTCGCAGGCGCTGAAGACCGTCTACCCGCGGATGCTGCCGGAGCATGGTGTGCACATGATCGAGGATGGCCCTGCCTGGGAAGAGATCGAGGAGGGTAACAGTGCTGAGGAGGTGGACGTCTTCCTGGCCGAGGTCGAGCAGGACCGGACGGAGCCGCTGGAGGAAGACGAGTCCATCCAGGTGCTGGCCACCTGGAAGGAGACACGCGCTGCAGTCGCAGAGGAGCGCAAGAAGCGGGGCCTTCCACCACCTCAGGCCCAGGACCTGAAGAAGTTCTCGTCGCGAGTTCGGTGCTGGACGTGCCTCCAGGTGGGTCACTTCAGCAAGGAGTGCCCCAAGAAGCCCAAGGAAGCCGGCAGAGATGATGCTAGACCTCGGGGACACCCAGGCCAGAAGTTCGCGGCGCACTTTGTCCTGAGCTTCTATGTCCTGGACGAGGAGACCGAGACGGACGCGTGGGCGGAGATTGAGGACATCCTGGCGGCTTGGGACGACAGGAGGCTGCACGAGTACAAGACGGAGGATCATTTCAGGCGCCTCGAGGAGGAGATCGACGACGACGATGAGCAGGTGGATGCGCTGCTGGTGCACTCGCCGGGATCGGGCGTGATCGACCCTGGGTGCGCGCGCGCCCTGATCGGCGAGGAGACGCTGGAGAAGCATCGGAGGACGACAGGCCAGCCACTGGAGATCACGACGGACCACAAGTCGGTGACGTTCAAGGGATTCTGCGGCGAGGAGCAGCACTCCATCGGGGTCTGCACCATCCCCTGGACCATCGGCGAGCACGTGGAGCACATCGAGGTGTACGTGGTTCCAGGAGGCGCTGGGTTTTTGCTGAGCAAGCCCCTGTTGACGAAGTTGGGGTGCATGCTCGGCATGGACAATGATAGGCTCATTATCCGGACCCTGGGTGCTCGGGTGCAGCTGCAGACGACGAAGGGTGGCCACTGCGAGGTTCTCCTCGATGGTTCGACGGCGACCCCGTTGGACCGGGATTCTCAGTAGGGCCGGGCCGCTGCCCTCAGGCCCATGCGCTGGCGGTCGCCCAAGGAGTTGGGAAGAGAGTGCCAGTCATCATGGAGGTTTTCTCCCCGCCGAGGGTGACCACCAGGGCGGCGGAGTTTGGGTTGGAGAACGGCGGTGCCTACGACCTGGAGACGGGCTGGGACGCTCGCCAGCGCGAGCACGTGGAGCAGCTGTTCCACGACCTGGAGAAGAAGGACCCGTTCGTTGTCGTGCTGACGCCGCCCTGTGGGAAGTTGTCGCCGCTGCAGTGGCCCACGCCAGATGCGAAGCGGCGGGACCCGGAGAAGTTCAAGGTGCAGCAGGCGGAGGCCATCTCGTTCATTGTGCTGTGCTTGGAGATTGCATCATGGCAGGTAACGCGGGGCAGACATTACATTTTTGAGCAGTCCAGGGCAAGTTCAGCATGGGGGTTGCCGGAGATGGTCCACTTCTTAGTTGATGAAGCCCCCTACGTGGCGGAGGCAGCAGCATGCAGGCTTTGGCAAAGGCGATCGGGTGTCAGGATTGCCGCTAGCGAAGCGCTGGCGTTTCATGTCGGACCTGCCCGAGGTAGCGAAGGAGGTGGATCGCCAGTGCCTCGGGGACCACGAGCATCAGGAGGTCATCGACCGTGCGGCGGGCTTCAAGCGGTCCGTGTGAGCCCAGATCTACCCGGACCAGCTCGTGAGGGCCCTCGCCCGCGGTGGCGGTCGTACCGTGCAGGAGGTGATGAAGGTCTCAGAGGTGCTCGGCGCTGAGGACCAGGAGGAGAAGGAGGCCCCGTCCCGGGAGCCGCTCTTCCACGGTCGCCCCCAGAGCATCGAGGCCAGTCTGCGGCGTCTGCACGTGAACCTCGGTCACGCCCCAGTGCCGACCATGCTGAGGCATCTCAGGCGTGCCAGCGCGACGGAGGAGGCCCTGAAGATGGCGTCGGAGTTTCGGTGTCATGAGTGCGAGGCGAAGGCAGACCCGAAGCCTGTTCGACCGGCCGCTCCCGACATCGCGCAGCCACTGCTCCGGTCCATCGGCATGGACGTGAAGGAGCTTCCAGGGTGGTTGCCGAACCAGACTATCAAGGCGCTGAACATCGGGTGTGACACGTCCTCCCTGCAGTCCATGGCCCCGTTCAACGAGGACGACGAGGAGGTGGCGAGCGACCTGCTCCGCATGTACCGCGACAACTGGACGAGACCCTACCTGCGACCGAAGTGGCTTCGACTGGATCCTGCGAAGCCCCACGTCTCCCAGGTGTTCACCAGTGCCATGGAGCGGGACAGCACCACCATCCTGGACACGGCCGGAGGCGCCAAGGAGCAGAACGGGAAGGGGGAGCGGCACGGCCAGTGGTTCGCCCAGATGCTGCGCGCCGTGATCGCGGAGGTCCAGCCGCAGGACCGCGGAGAGTGGCGGGAGTGTGTGGCACAGGTTCAGGAGGCGAAGAATTCCCTCTTGAGCGTCGGCGGCGTGAGCCCCGCGCAGATCGTGTTCGGACGGAACCCCGAGGTCCCCGAGGACCTCTTGGTGGACTCGCTGGACAGCGTGGCGAACAGTGCCGTGCTGCACGACCCGCCGGCCATCTTCGCGGCTCGAGTGCGAGCCATCGCCAGGCCTCAGGTGTTGAGCTACAACGACCGGCGTGCCACTCGAGCGGCCTTGGACAAGGAGGCCGCGGCGCCACATCACGTACAAGCCTGGGGACATGGTGGCCGTCTGGAGGAAGATCACGAAGGGTGGAGGTGGCGGTTTGCAGAATCGCCGAGCTCACCACCGGTGGAGGCCGGGAGTGTGCATGCGCGCGGTGCGTGGCAACTACTGGATCGCCGTACCGGGGTGCGTCCTGAAGGCATCGCCGGAGCAGCTGAGGATGGCCAACTCTGAGGAGCGTGCGGCATGGCGGCTTGTCGAGGGCTCGCTGCGGTCGCACACCATCGACCTAGACAGCATGAAGGCGCAGTTCTACCACGACATCGCTGCCGAGGAGCGCCCACCAGAGGAGGTTGGGGAGGAGGACATCGATCAGACGCAGGAGCCTGCGCGAGATGAGTCTCCCCCACATCAGAGAGGTCCAGCCGCTGGTCCAGGTTCCGAACCACGTGTGGCGCCACAGCCAGTCGACCCCTCCGAGGTGCCGTTTCCCGAGGATGCCGAGGAGGACCTGCTGCAGGAGCCGGCAGCCGAAGGAGCAGCCGAGGCGGACCACGAGGTCAGAGAGCCCGGAGGATGTGAAGGGGAGGCAGACCCCGTCAGGCCCCTCAGGCGCCTCGCGGGAAAGACCTCTCCTGAGGAGGTGAAGCGCGCCCGCGAGCATAGGCAGGGCGCGAAGCGAGGCTCCTCCCCGTCGGCGTCGGACCGGGTCAAGCAGCCGAAGGTGCAGCTGACCTTGGCGGTGACGGCGGCCGAGGACAGCGGGGACGACGACGAGATTCTGGCCGTGGACGAAGAGGAGGTCTTGCTGGCGGGAGGGCGTGAGGAGCTGAATCGAAAGGATCCGCAGTGGACGACCTCGACGG